TCAGAACGAATTTAAAACACGTCTGGAGTCAAGGTTAACATCATCATATGGTGAATTTTTTCATAGCACACGGAGGAGGGCTCTGTGTCTTCTCTTGACTTTTGGGAGGCTCTGAATGGATACAGAGGGACTTAAAAACACTGTGATGGACATCAAACATGTCCAATGTTCTGAGTAGGCCTGTTCAACGGAATATTTTCTTGGGTAAGAATGAATCATCAAAGATCCTTATTTAATGAGCTAAACACATATCAGAGGTCTTGGATGGTTGCCTTAAGCTATAATATGTTATGAATGAGTAGTGAATTGTCCTGTGCTAGTCAAGTGAACACCCTATATGTTTGACATCAAAAATTCATGCCAACAGAGCATCCTGACATCTGTGTTGTATTCCTTCCACCAATACACCGTGAATAGATTTAGTACCTTACTATTTATAATTTTATATTCTTTTATTTTTATGTATTAAGGGAAGGGAGAACAACCAAGAGGAGGAGGATCATCAATCCCTAGTCTTCCCTCTCACTCTCTCTTTTCTCCAGCTTCTAGTGCGAGACTAGTTCATCTCCCCCGAACTGCCGGAGGAGAATCTTCAGAGAAACAGAGTATATGGACCTAGAGAACGCTTTATCATCATATTTCACCATCTTGACGCAAGTCTCGGTTGGGTTATTTGAACCCACGGACAATATGGGACCAAACGTCCTAAATGTATTCAATAATTTCTTTAACTTTTCTTATATGCTTTTCATCCTAAATAAAATACTTTTAAAATCTATCAATTCACAACCAATATAGAAAAAAACTTTTAAGAAAGAAACAAGATCTCTAAAATTATGATTGTTTATAGAGATCAATTTTACTATACCTTTCTACAACTGATTATCTTAACTCGATCACTTGTTAAATCATTATTATTATTATTATGTCAATGCTCAATAACAATTTCAAATTTTTAATCATTCACTCATGAGCCATTATAAAAATCAGTGTAACCATCTAATGGCATTAAGTCATATCACATTATAATTATTCTACACTAAGAAATTCATAAACTCATCTCTTTTCTGTCAAAAATAATTTGTTTTTTTTTATTTTCTCAATTATAATTTACAAGAAAATTTTAGACCATAATTTCTTTGTTGAATTGATGACAAAACAATTCTTTAAAGCAATTTTTATTAAAATATTTTTCTTTTCTTTTAATCAAACTTTTAGGTGGGAAAAGCCTAATTAAAACGAAGCATCACTTTTATATATATATATATATATATATATGGCTTTAAAGGAAGGTATTTTCATGTTTTATTACAGGTATAGTGGGCTACAAATGTCCCACATAAGTATTTAAACTTTATGACATTCGCTGAGCATGACGTGCGGACATACTTTTGTAAAACCTAGCTACTAGCCAGTGATATCAATGGAGGAATGGTTATTTCAGGCAGCCATGACCCAAACATTGTTCTGGGGGGCATTTTGTCATTTCAAAGATGTAGGGGTGGTATTTTTATAAAAGAATGGTCTTAATATTGCTATATGTTTGGATAACTTATTTCCTCAGAATTAGTCTGAAATTTTGTAATGGCAAGAAAATTTTTAGATTCACTTTTTTCTCTAGTTTATTGTTGATAATTTTATTCATCAGCCCATTAGGCCATTTTATGAGCCTCCCACAACCTTTAAGCAGACCTTTTATGAAGTATAATGTTAGAAGATAGGTGATATTACGTGATACAAAAATATGGGATGCCACAAAGTGGTGCAGCACGATATATTATATGACGTTGTAGCATGTCATAACATTTTTCGATAATTTTATGGATGTTGCGTTAAGCTTTTTTTGCATTATTTCGAGCAAGATAGGATGCAGAAAAACCTTCAAAGCATAAAAGTCTTACTTTAAAGGCTGAGATAATGGAATTTGACAAAATTTCAAGTGAGTGTACAGACATTGTGGGTCCGTGGGGACATTTTTGGTGCCTCCACATCCTCTGAGTTGGTATGTTATGAGGTATAATGTCAGAGGACGTTTAGTATTATGTGACATAAAAATTATGTGGTGACACAAAGTGATACTACATGATATATTATATCATTTTGTAATATGTAATATCATTTTCCGATATTTTTTGGGACGTTACTTCATGCATTTTTTACTATTTTAGTCACGAAGGAATGCAAGAAAAAGCATAAAAGTTTTGATATGAGAGTTAAGATGATAGAATTTAGCCAAATTCTAAATGGGCATGACGAAGGTAATTTATAGTCCACAATTTTGATTTAAAAAATGAGGTTGCACATTAAAAAGAGGAACTTTTGGCCCGTGAGTTCATTTTTAGGGCTTTCATAGCCTTGAACTGGCTCTTTATAACGTATAACGTTAAATGACACATAATATTATGTGATACAAAAATATAGCGTACCACAAAGTGGCACAACATAATATGTTATCTGATGTTATCAAATGTCATATTATTTTTGGTAATTTTTAAGACGTCATGCATTTTTTGCTATTTCAAACTTGCAGAATGCGAAAAATCTCTAAAACCACAAAAGTCTTGATTTGAGGACTGATATGATGGAATTTTACCAAATTCCAAATGAGCACTGGTGTGGTGCACTTGAGGTGATGTAGTCCTCATTTCAGTTTAAGAAATAGGAGTATGAGTCAAAAACTGACACAGTCGGCCCATGTGAGATGCCTCCACAATCTCTGAGCGGATATGTTATGAGGTATAATGTCAGATGACTTATAATATATGTGATAAAAATATGTGATGCCACAAATGGGTACAATATTATATATTATATGGTGTTATAAAACGTCTTACCATTTTTTTGGTGATTTTTAGAGTATTACATCATGCATTTTTATGTTGTTACGACATTGAAAAGATACAGAAAACACTAAAAGCAAGTTTGATTAAGTGTCAAGATGATGAAAATTGGTTAAATTCCAAGCGAGCACCGATGCAACCTGATTTATAATCCATTATTTTGGTTAAAAAAATAAGGTTGCATATCAAAAATAAACACCATTTGCTTGTAGTGTCATTTTTGGGCCCTCGACAGCCTCTAAGCGAGGCTGTTCAAACGTGTAATGTAAGTGGACATGTAATATTATGCAATATAAAAGTATGGGGTGTCACAAATTAGTGCAACATGATAAGTGATATGTTATTGTAATACAACATAACGTTCTCTAACAGATTTCGAAATGTTAAATCAAGCATTTTCTTATCCCTGAAATTATAAAGCCTTAATTTAAGGACCAAGATAATGAAATTTAGCTAAATTCCAAGTGGGTGTTAGCGCGCTGCACTAAGGTGATGTATTATCCACTGTTTCGGTTAAAAAATGGAGCAGTACGTGAAAAACATACACCATTGGTCGGTGGGGTAATTTTGGGGTCTTCTACAGCATATGAGTGAGCCTATTATGACCTATAATATCATAGGGGGTGTAATATTATGCAGTACAAAATATAGGGTGTCAAAAAGTGGCTTAACTCAATATGTTATATGATGTCGTAACATGTCATATTATTTGTTGGTAATTTTTATGATGTTTTGTCATGTATTTTGTACTCTATTTCAATCATGATAGAATGCAGTTAAACCCTAAAAGCATAAAATGCTTGATTAGAGTTCCAAGATGGTAGAATTTGGCTAAATTCTCGACGGGTGTCGTTGGGCTGCACCAGCGGTGATGTATAGTCAACTTGCTACATAATTATTAAGTATGTGCCAAAAATTGAGAGGAGTAATAATAGCAACATATTATAAAAGTAATGGAGATAAATGATAATTCAAGTTTTTTGACTAGTTTTTCTTATCCCAAATCTTTTTTTGAAGACTGAACTGTAAAGATTTGGACAGCAGATTTACAAAGTTTAGAAAACATCCCCTTTGTTCTTTTTTTTACTACATTCATACATACATACACACGTACATACATACATCATACACATACACGTACAAATATATACATATATGTGATGGATAATCTTATCCAATTTTAATATTAATATAATATTTATTTATAAAAATTAAGAAAAAATAATAATTCTCAAATAATTGAGCAAAGTCATCCAACAAGTACCTTCCCATGATTTGTAGCCATGGAGAATTTCTTTCCCGCAGACAAACGTCACCATAATTATTATGTATTTATCCTACTTTTTTTATTCACTCAAATATTAAAAATATTCACTCAACAAAAACCCCTCAAATCAATATTTTTAAAAATTTATTAATAATCATAACTCCCATAATTACATAAATATAAAATTTCAATAATTCAAAAAATGATCAGAACATTTTGTAAATAAAAAAAAAATTGAATCATGTGTAAGTTTTTTTTAATCACAACATTGTCGATAGGCATTATCGTGAATCTCAACCTGGAGAAATATTTGCGTACGTAAGACGTACGTAGAGTTGCGTACATATTAAGTTATTAGGAGAACACAGGTAAGTTACACTTAGGTTATACCATTATAATTCTTCATGTAACCTAAGTATAACTCATATGTACTATCCGAATAACCTAATATAAACTCAACTCTGCGTATTTAAGACGTACGCAAATATTTTTCCCCAAACTGACCTCCATGATCTAAAAAGAATTCCAGGAGAACTTACATACATATCACATTTTTTATATATTTACATATCTAAAATCTAAAACTTGATATTTATATTTACAACACTCTAGTTTTATAAACCAATACATGAAAATCTGTATTGCACTTTTAAAACATAATAAGAGCGAATTTTGATGAGATGTTAGATTCGAGTATTATGCATGTAAATATGAAAGTTTAGGTCTTACATATGTAAATATATAAAAACTATGTGGTAGCCATGCAAATGACCCAAAATTTCATTATTATCTTCTAAATTCTAACTGCAAATTATCCTACAGTAAATGTTCGGTCACATGTAATTAAAGAAATTAAAAAAAAAAAAAAGAAAAACGAAGATGCTATAAGGGTGTAAAAGCAAGGGCCTGTAGTATTAAAAAACAGTTCAGACTATACAAGCACTTCAGTCATGGCTCTTGACTGTTCACTCTGCTATGGAGCTCCAACATTTCTTGGTGCTTGGGATCGACGGAGAGGGCGGCCCTGCAGTCCCGAAGAGCTCCGGCCGCATCCCCGATATGCTCGTGGAACGCGGCTCTCAGATGGAGCAGGTGAAGGTCGGCCTTGAAGGCAATTGCCCTCGTAAGCTCCCTGATCGCCTCCTTCTCGTGATGACCATCCATTAGCACTGCAAATAGCATTAACAATCAGAATCTTTACAGGAGCTGAAGATCAAGGAGCTTTAAGAACAAACTTTAACCTGCAGCTCGGTATCGGTAGGGATAAACACGCAGCGGATCCAACTTGGTCACCATCTGCAGGTCAGCTTTTGTTAGCTCACGTTCGCAGTACTCGGATCTCTTCTCATAGGCCGAGGCATTGTTTTTGGCCTTGTCGATCAGCTTGGTCATTTCTTCGTACGCGGAGTTTCTGTTGTTTTTGAGGAAATGAACTCGAGCGAGTCCTTGATGAGCTCTGGTGTGATGGATCCTGAGGGCAGCTATATAGCAATCTGCAGCAAGATCGAGCTTTCCGCAATCAACATATACGCTGCCAAGATTGTTCAAGGCCTGCATTATGAATATAAAAATTTCTATCAATTTAGTTTGTAGTAGTTCTTAATTATTCATGCAACAACAATGTCTAATCCACGTGGCCCCTCAAAGAGGAAAATCAGAGAAAACTCTTCAAAATTAGAAGAATATATTTGTCATGTGTTTGCCAACCACGTAGCTCAAGCTCAACAAAAGTGCTACCATTAGTTGGCTAATGCCAAGGCCACCAACAAGAAGTCCCCATGGATCCAAAGTTCTCAGTTTGGCCAATTTCTAGAAGAAGCGGATAAAAAAAAACTCAATTTGAGCCGGCTCGTTTCAATTTCAAGCAAGATCAAGCTCGAATTAATTTCGAGCCAAGCTCGCTCAAAATTGAACCTGACGAGTCACGAGCCAATTTCGATCCGAGCTCAATCCATTTGATCTGATTTCAGGCGAGCCCCAGCTTGGCTCAAAACCAGCTTGTTAACTACTCTAATTTCAAGGGACATTTGGTGTCTTAATAATAAGTTGACAAAATCTCCGCCTCATGTGCCTAGATGCTAAAAATAAGGCAACCAATAGCATCATGAGAACGGCACTACCGTCAAAACAAATACCTCAAATGTAATCTCCTAAAAGAGACAAGAAGCATAGAAAATTTATAAAGAATTCATCAAATGTATGTATGTATGTATTCCCTCCACAAAATTCCTTGCTTGTTGAGCTGATGTTTTAACAAATAGACGTTTTGGTACTCCGAAGAGGGGTTGCCGCCCCTCTGCAATATTGTTATCTATTCTAACAGTACAGCCGAGCCATCTTTGTTGCACCCCTCATCACCATTTACTAAAAATTTCTTAACCTTACTCCAATATCTTTCCTAGAGGCACAATATGGTTGTTTAAGGAACACAATTTATTCTCAAAACAACTGATGTTTCAAAACATTTTGCTTTCACTTGGTCAACAAATCTAACCTATCAAATTAGTAGAATCGAGCCCACCTGCCAAAATGATTGAATCCACTTCATTTGCAAGGATGGTCTAGCCCACTTGTGTTGGGATAGCTATTACTGAAGGCAACCATGACTACTAAAGATATCTGCCAATCCTTCATTAAGAGTGTCACCCAACATTCGAGTCTCGATCTTTCCATCAAGACACCCGGGATGAGCGTCGAACCGACGCCGCTTGACACCCACGTCACCATCTTTTTATCAAGACAACAAAGAAGGGCAGAGTATAGTATGAAATATATCTCATTTATTATTTTGTGACTTTCTCCCTTCTGCAAAAAAAGAAAGTCAAGAGGAGATGGAGGGGATCTCTCTTCATGGGAGGGTAGGATCTTTACCTCTTTCGTTACATTGCAGAAGATCTTGTAACTCAGAGAACCTCCGACGGGCCAGACTTTTCCAGTTTACCTGAGACAAGAGCTCAATACATACTCTGAGGTTTTCTCTCAAGACTCACACCTCTCTCTCTCTCTCTCTCTCTCATATTTTTCTCTCTAAGATACAAGGTCTTTATCGGGTTGTATGCACTCATGAACAATATGAGACCATACGTCTCAAAAGAATTCAACAATTCCCTTTTGGTAGAATTACCACACTACTCAAAAAGGTAATTACACAGTGAAAAGTCTTAATAATAAGAATAGTCCTCTATAACTTCTATATGAATTTTTAATTTTTTACTGCTTTTGTTGCATCAAAGGTTTTGTGATAAAAATACTCAAATGTTCTCCTTTTAACTGCATTTTATCAACCACTTGTCCCTTCTTTTATATGTTGGATCATTGTTTAACTATTAAACGTTGGATCAAGTTAGAGCTAATTAAACATGCCCATTAAATCGAGAATAATATTGAAATGGGACATAAAGTTCACTCAAACAAAATCTGGCTAGGATCTAAATTGAATAAATACTGCCATAAAATTATTTTAATTTGAAAATCTCCCCAACTATTGCAAACACCACAAAGTTATCAGCTTCCCACTTATATCTCAATTAGTCAAAACCCTCCTTTATTAGTGTTACCAACATCATATTCAACAATACCAATTATCTAACTGTAGTTGAGAGTCTTTTGCTTCCAAGTGGAATCTCGTGATAGATTTCACCTTGATTTCTCTCCTTTGAAAAGAATTGGCACCATTAACGTTTCAAAATGGCAAACATCTGAATTTTCAATATTTTACTAACCTAGCCTTGAATAGGGGTGTCTAAAACCCAAACCATACTTGAAAAATATGGCTTTGAGTTAACCTTAACTACTCGCATCACATTTGGGTCAAACTTATAGAACCAATCATTACTCAGTTAAAGTATGCGTTAACCTGAAATTGACAAGATTACTATTCCGGCTTGGGTCAAACGTGTTCAAGTTGCTTCAGAAAAAATTAATGATCAATATAATAAACAGGATGGGTTCAAGTCAAGCATATCCAGGTTAGGTCAACTCTGGATCGGACATAGACCCGACCCATTAAGCCAAACTAATACAGCTAATCTTGAAGGGATAGATGAAAGCCTTCCAATTGAGTAAGTTTGGATGGTTATATTAGTTTTATTCAAAGTGTGGTCAAAAGAAGAGGGTAGGCCAAATGTTGAGGGTGGGTGAGACCAAAGGTATACTATTCAAATTCAAGGTCTAGGGTCTGGATTTCAGTTGTATCCAGGGCATGAAAGTAGCTAGAGAGGTTGGGGGAATATTAGGGGGTGTAATCTAGAGTTTTTTTTATGGAGATCAAAAAGATTTAGGGATTTGTAAGGAAAGCTAAACCAAGAATAGATGAAGGTGTCTGCTTTGGCCTGATTTGCATGTGGAATACTCCCTTGCAATGGTTGACTCGATAATAGAAAAATCCATAGGAATGCAATAAGTTCACAATAATCCCTAATTTTTCTCTTACTTTTTATTAAATCACAAATAAGAAAATTAATTGATTCCACAATTAAAGATCATCCCATGGTAGATGATAGATCTACCAAATATAAGCTCCAATATTTAAAACTTCAAAAGATCCTTGTATTGAAATTACTAAAGTATAGATTTTAACTCTGATACTAAAGTTGACCTAGCTGAGTGAATCCATGGCTTTCAAATGTTGTAGTGAGAGACTAAATACAAGTAGATGGTTGGATGAATTTTATTTGAAGCAAGTCAAATGAAGAGGGTTGACAAAGATTTAGATAGGCAAGAACCAAGAGTATGAGTTTTAAATTCAAAGTTTAGAGTTTAAAGTGTGGGTGGATCTAGAGCATGCCACTGCTTAGAGGAGTTGAGGGAATAGTAGGGTTAATATAGAGTTTTTAGTAGAGGTCTAAAAGATTTAGGAGTATGTGAGAAAAACTAGATCAAGTTTGGGTCAATATGTCTAGCTTGTAGGATTGTAAATGAGCAAGCTTGAGGAGCTCGTGCTTAGCTCGTTCAAATTTATTTTCTTTGAAACTGGCTCATGCTAGAGAATGTTCATGAATGTTGTATTCGTGTTCGATTCGATTTACCTATTCTTGTTCGTGTTCTGCTTTAATTTAATAATCAAAAATTAATTTTTATTTTAAAATACTTTCTGCTCTCACATTGCCGCATGATCCTTTTTTTAACATGTATGTAAATATGTTTTTCGCCTCAATCTTTCGATGTGGGGCTAAAAGTAGGGCAAGCTGCGAGATATTTGGGAAAAGTTTCTTTGGCATTTACATGCATACTACCAAATTCTTATGTATTTACATATTTAACGTAATGCAGAAAACATGAGGGGAGAGATGGCAGAGCAGGCAATGGGCTGAAAATTTTTTTCGGGCATTTACATGCAAACCACCAATACTAATGTATTTACATTTCTATAAACACACATTTACATAAATACCACACAATTCTTGCATATTTACATATCTAATACCTAAATTTTTGTTTTTTGCATTTACACAAAACAAATCTTTGATATCATGTTAAAGATACCACTATTTTATAGTTTGCATATTTATTATTATTTAATTATTGTGAGCCAAAATGAGTGAACACGAACAAACAAACTTTTGTTCGCTTCGGATTGTTTGCCTAACAAACGAAATGAACATAAGCTATTAAGTGAAGTGAACATGAATTGTTGGTGAACTATGAGACCTTTTGACAGCCCTACTAGCCTGAGTTAGGGTGCGTTTGTTTCAGATTTCTGGGCCTCTTTTAAAACCGATTCCCATAACGTACGTTTGATTCGCGCTGCCGCAAATCGTGTTTGTATCTGCAGTTGGTTTTTCTTCTCCATGGAGGACCCCGTCCCGCATCCCGCATCCCGCATCTCGTTCTGGTTTTATCCATGTCGGGCGAGAATTCGTGAAGGGCAGAGCAGCTTCATGAATCATGATTAATGTCGTGTAAAGCACAATTAAAATATGATTAATGTCCTGTAATTTTTAAAATTGTGAACGAGCATCAAATAATTTTTTTACCGAATTTCATTAACATAAGACAATTTTAAAACAAATTGGGTTTTTTAAAACGAATATAATGTCCCGTAAAGCATACCCAATTTAACATTGTTAAAATAAATTCGAGCATTTCATGTTAAGCATGTCATTTACCCTATAATTTCATCATTAATTTATAAATCTTATCAAAAACAACTAATTTTTTTAAAAAATTTAATTAAAATTTGCAAATTAAAATCAAGATAGTGAAAAATTAAAATTCAAATACTATCATCAAAGAATTAATATAATTTAGGAAGTACAAAATTTGAGTCGCTACAGTTAATAGTTAAAATAATTTTGTATTTTTGTTTATTTGGGTAACACGGTTAAAAAAGATGAATTACCTACATTGAAAATACCTATGAGGTCTACATAATTTATACTGATGGGTATTACAGACATTATTCCACATACAAAACTTTCAAAACTATATTTTTCAAATAGAGCAACTGCTTCTGAAATACCAGTTTCTGAAAAACATATTTTCTACAATTGCTTTTTAACTGAGATTTCGTATAGTCATAGTCGAAACAAACACACCCTTAATTTTACTAAACTTGAAGTGTTGAATTAGAAAAAACTTTTGATTTGTGTCTTTAGGGGCTAAAGGCAAGTAAGTGTAAAAGAGTTGCAAGAAGATAAATCTAAAGTTTTTAATGAGAATCCAAAGGAATTGAAAGGTGGTGAAAAAGGGAAAACAAAACTGAGACAAAAAATACCTCATTTCTAGAGATGTTCAAAAAAATTATCTACATAATGGTCATACCAGTGGCAGGGTGGACGAGGTCGTAACACCTTGTCGACCAACCCTTAATGCAGTCACACTAATCATCCTCGAATCTCTAGCAAATGCTTGTTCATGATCTAGGAGTGTAAATCAGTCGAGTGGTCTAGAGATATAAATGAGTCGAGTAGAACTTGAGCTACCCTCAGCTCGAGCTTGATTAATTAATCAAGGTCAAGCTCAAGCTCAAGCTCAAGCTTAATTTTACGAGTTCGAGTCGATTCACGACCCAGATTGTTTATTATGAAAAAAATGATATTAGCTCAAGCTAATGTTATAATAAAATGACATATAAAATGAGCAAAAGGTGCAAAAAATAAAAAAAGACATAAAAAAATTGTAAAATATAATTTTTTTATAAATTTTTAATAAAGATGAAGTTTGAATTTTAATATTTTTGAATGTGCTTTATATTCATATCTAGCTCACGAGCTAAAAAGTTGAGTTGGGGCTGACTTGAGCTTGTCACTTATCACGCTCATCCCAAGCCTGTTTGACACAGTCACACACCTATGTTCAATCTTATTATCATTAACCTTAGATAGTGGTTTATATGCACCACAAGTTTCAGTCAAACTTATAACAAAATAGTATATGACCACGAGCATATAATTCCTCAATAAAAATTTATACCTCTTATTATGTCTTTTAAGGTTTCACTATAAATAAGATAATTGATGGAGGTATTGAAATTAGTGGCATCGATTAACTTATTTTTGTTACATGCATTTGCGTTATTATTGATATCCCCTTATCAATCGCACTAGTATTTGGGACACCATCACTACCTTCAATACTTCGCCCATGCACATCTTATATTAATCAATTTGACTTTGATGAGCGATAGATAGTCTCAACAATCCGATGAAACATTTTTTTTTAAAATTGAATGAAAATTATGGCAGAAACTTGTTAGAAAATTCGATATACTTACTGTAGAGTTCAGACGTGCTTAACAAAATTTTGTCGTGGAACACTTAATTTTCAATTGTTGTCTTACTATAACATATCCACCGAAGATCCATCAAATAAAAATTCCAAAAGATTTTGCAATCGTTGTAAGACATTTCCATCAAGGTTTCTAATAGCGAAATAAAAAAATCATCTAAAACATGATTTTTTTATATTTTTTGGTCAAAAAAAATACATGTTTTAAATAAAGTGAAGGATGGGTTATCACAAGTCGTTGATTACATCCAATCAACCATTGAAGGCCAATGATTATTTCAATAAAATTCATGTGATAATTATCAGAGGGTTTAATTAAATACTCATCATAGTGAATTGTTTCAATAAGATAGTGTTTTATTATGTCTCGAAAAACCATTAAAAAAGGAGGCTAGCAAAAAAAATTTTCAACATATTTTTGAAATATTTTGAGATGCTTTCACCCATTGTTTCTGATAGGGATAACAAATTTCTCAATCATTTTTGGAATGTCCTTCACTTATGAGGGACAATTAGATACAAAGCTCGAATAAAGCACCGCCTTCTATCCATAAACAAATGAGCAGACATAGGTGGTGAATTATACTACGGTCTGTTGGGTAATATGAAGATCCGGTCCACTGAAATTTAATTAACTTCCTAATTAAGAATCTCATCTACCGCTTTGGATGTGGTGGGGATGGGAAACGTTGATATTGCACTCCCTAACAAGAGCAAATGAACTTTGCAAAAGGTCAGACAAGTTCCTGAGTTGAAGAAAAACCTATCTATGTTGGGTAGCTCAATGAGGGTGGTTATTCAGTAGTGTTCTCAGATAGAACATGGAAGCTTACCAAATGAGCATTAATACTGGCTTGAGGTAAGAAAACTGTCACACTATATATGACTACAGGTTTACTCAGGCGTTGACACATGAGTCAGAGGTGCATTATGGAGAAGCAGAAGAATGTCAATTTCTTGAAAAGTGTCAAAGCGTCAAAGGCAGGAAAATCGGACCTTGTACAGACCAATGGTCGAGAAGCACGGAGCTATGAAAAAATCTTGCAAGATGAGAATTCGAGCAAGTGGGAGCTGACCAAGAAGGTGGAGACGGATTCCCTGTCAGGGAATCAGACTTGGGAGCTGACAAAACTTCCAATAAGGAAGAAGACATTGCACAACAAGTGGGTGTACCGGGTGAAGACTGCGTTTGGTGGCAATAAGAGGTACAAGGCTGAACATGTTGAAAAGGGCTTTCAGAAGGGGCAGGAGTAGGGGCAGGATATTGCTCATGTAGTGGAAGTTGTAAGCAGATACAGGAGTAACTCAGGAAAGAGCTTGGTGATACAAGGCTACATTAACGGTGATATGTCAACTGAAGGTGTTACTCGTGAGAAGCAAAAGTTGTGCTCAACTTCAGCTAGTCTTCTAGCATGAAGACAGAAATTTAAGTTGCAGAGATGGAGGATATCATGTTTGAAGAAAATGTCGGTACAGCTAGTAGATGATGCAGTCAGTAGGTGATGCAGTCAGTGTCTCAGTCTCCAAGTGGGAGAATTGTTAGGTAATGTAGAGACTCGGTTCACCGAAATTTAATTGGCTTCCTAATTAAGAATCTCACCTACCGCTCACCTACTTTCTCACCTACGCTCACCTATCACATCCCACCTACCGCTCTCTCATGGTTTCTATAAACAATCTCTTATGGTTTGTCATAAGCTAAGCCACAAGCCAAGCATGGCCAAGTCAAGTCTTCTTGAGAGCTAAGAGAAAGAGAGGAAGAGAGAGAGGAAGGGAGAGAAGAAAATATAGATTTTTTTGTAAACGTTGAGGCGCTCGACGGTGTAATTCCTCGAAGAAATAAAATCCTCTACAGCTCCGTGGACGTAGGCAAATTTGTCGAACCACGTAAATCTGTGTGTCGATCTGGTGTTTTTCTACGTGCAATTTTACTCGTTCCATTTTTCATTTTATTGTCGTTGTTTTTCACAACACGGTCCATATGATGAGTAGGGGGAGAGATACAAAGCCTGTAGAGCCATACTCATATAGATTTTTTTCAATTAGCATAGAGGATGATGGCATGAGCATAGAGATGACTTGAAGAAGTCATGAGAGAGACATAAGTTATGCAAGGATTTGTTGATTGAAAGAAATGAATATTATCGTCTGTTAAATGCGATTTATTGGCCATCTAATAAACAAAGATAAGCTGCTGTGGGTAAAGATGGCCTGAATTCAGAGTCGAAGTCCTGCAAGTACAAAATTTCTATTTTCCCCCCTCAAAAACAAATACTTGTAAAGTTTTCTAACAAATATTTGGCAGTAAAGTAATGAAGCTGGAGAAGTTTTCTAACAAAATTTCTCTGTAAAAGATGTGTTTCGCTCGAATGAGGAAAAAAAAGGCATTTTTTAGGCAGGAGTTTGCTCTGGGATAACTCACATCAAGCTTTTTTTCAAAAAGAATGATAAGTAATAAAGAGTAGATTTTTGTAGAAGTAATAATGCACATATTTGTTTAGCCAATAGCAAGTACCTGACCCTTTCGAAGCCTATCAGAAGGACATCTTAAGGCATCTTCAAGTAGTGAGATAACAGTTGCAGAACATGAAGAGCCAGGACCTGAATCTGCCAAAGCATAAGCTTTCAAAAAGAAGGCCTCAAAAGACCTTTGGATGGAGATCGATTCCTCAGCCTTGCGAATCCCTTCCTCACGGTGACCGGTGTCGTATAAAATCCATCCCTCGTACACCAGTCGTTCATGTAAACTGGTTGCATGCTGACGAGCAAGCTGCAAGCTTCGCATTGCTGCTTCTGACCAGTTCAACCTAAATCAACCAAATCACAAGTTCACTTCAGAATATGAAATAAAATGTTATTTCATTTAATAAACCTACTTTCATTATGAAGAAGAATTTGGAAAAGTACAACTCTATGCATTAAATTATGTTGGGACAAAAGAATAAATTTCATCTTTTGGCGCATTTGGGTTATCTTAAATAATGCACCTATAAGATATAAATGGTCTAAATGGTCAAATAACTCATAGTTCATAACATGTAGAGCCTTTGGATACTTCTATTTCTTCTTCATCAACATCCATGCTTTATTCTCTATCAACAGATTTGTAATCCACCATCTCTTTCATTTTCTACTTAGACTCGTCTTTTTCTTTCTCAAGATTGACCGTTCTAGTATATAGAATTCAAGATATAACTTAAGTTTTGATGCTATGTTCACATCCCTACATGCCTTTATTTCATCATAAAAAACTACAACATCTTTTGTGAGTGCTAATACTAAAAAGGGGTTTACACAAAGCATGGAGCTCCCGTTAACTCAGGATTTAGAGAGGGGTGGTTGTACACAAACTTACCCATTTATTTTCAAAGAGATTGTTTACAAGACTGGAACATAAGACCTCTATAATACACTAGAGGCAATACAATCAATGCTCAAGGTTTGCTAATCACTAGCATTCGTCTTTCTAATGTTTGCCGCATTGTTTAGTTCCTTCAGGAATGCTCTTGCTTAGCTAGTGTGATAGTAATGTTATCAGCCTAAGAGGTGAACAAGGCAATATAGCGTCACGACACATAGTTTAGATGTTTTGGCAAGCACTGGCTAACCTATTAATAATAAGACTAAGAACAAGAGGAGACAGCTGAATGGATGGTATAAATACCATTTATCCTGATCTATACATCCTAAAACATGCAGGGAAGAAAGTTTGATATTTGAAAGATTTATAAACATACCAATCAATTCCTATGCATTTCAATATCTAACATCTAAACTCAATTTTTACATAATGACGCCTTGCTTATGCATCAAAGGTGTATTTTGCTTTTTACATGTTAAAACTGTGGTATTTTTTATGTGATGTGAAGGATTTGGATGGTATAAATGTAAAAAAGTAAAGTTTAGATGTTAGATATGTAAATACTTAGAAATTGGGTGGTATGTATGTAAACGCCCCTTGATATTTTTTAAAATGTCTAAGCTGAGCGCCAAATAGCTATAAATTAGTTATGCAAGGATGACTTCTTCACCATACATATTTCTTATGGATAGGAGTGTATGTTGGGCATAGTGTATTAAACCATGTGGACTTTTTCTATTCTATCTAAAAAGCTTGAGCTAGAGATTATGGGGCATCTACTAATATAGTTAAATGCTACTCATTCAAAGTTTTTTATGTGTAACCAAGCCACTTTATTAGCCTTTATAATCAGCAAAAATGCTAGTCGAGGCCAAATTCACTCATCAAAATCCAACAACTATCAATTGGCTGTGCGCTTGTGTGTGCGGTCTACAATGCATAGTAGAAACATGACAACATCAAAAATCATTAAATTACAAATGGACCCCAAATAAAGTTAAAGTTATCACCATACTCAGTTGCAGTAAATACCTAAGGAGAAGCAAAGATTGTCTAAAATACAGAACTCCTTTTGTGGCATATGGCGCCTCAAGCATTTGATAGATAACTGAAAGAGATCCTATATCATCCACAGTAGACCACCGCTCATAAAGTTGAAGCCAACAATCTGCAATCGTCCACGGCTCAACATGTTCCCGAACGAGCATTTGTAATAACACGGCAGCCACACGCCCTTCAAACATTCGATAATTCGGAGACAATGTAAGGATTGTTTGTACATCACATAGTGCCGCTCTATAGTCTTCCAGCGCCAAATAAAAGCAAAATCGTAATTCTAAACACTCTGGAGCCAACTTGAATCCCAAAAACCGATTAATTTCTGCTAAAGCCGCCTGCACGCCTCGTTGTTTCAACAAAGATGATGCTCGAAACATGTAAGGATAAAGAAGAGTAGGATCTAACTCCGTTGCCTTATCAAGGTTTTCCAATTGTTTATCACCCTCGCTGTACAAAGATCTTTCTAGATACATCCAACCTAAGGGATTATAGGAAGAAATTACACTGCTGATTTTCTCATAAGACAAATGCTTAGCACCTTTAAAGCAAGCAATTCTAGCCAATCCAGCAACAGAGTAGATGTGTCCAGCTGTGACAGCAGAACTAAAAAGGCGTTCTGCCTCATCATATTCATTCCGCAAAAGCCTCACACATCCGAGTTGATGAAAGGCGAACTGCCTCTGCCTGCTGCTCGATGCAGATTCAATCATCTTCTCCAAAAAGGAAGCTGTGACCTCTGATTTGGGATTAGTATTCATGGCAACTTCACTTAGCAAACAATACAGAGCGAATGAGGAATGACCAAACATGATAAGCCTTTGTTGCCTATTTGCAGCAGAGAAAATCCTTATTACTTGCTCATCTTGTAGACATTCTGTGATATCCAGGAGGAAAAACTGCAGACAGGAAGCAGCAAGGAGAGGACAATTTTCCTCCAACGCACATTCCATAAGTTCAACAGCATCTTTCTTTGAATAAACCAAAGATGCCAGCTTTCCATCACATGCCACTTTGAGTCTCTCGCAACAAAATCTATTTGCAAATATCAAAATCTCCAGTAAAATATCCACAGATAGTGAATCATTCAAACTTCCAAAAAGACTGAAATCACTTATTGCTCTCATACCTAATGGTGAGATACTGTTCTCCGACATATCTATGACCTCTTGTATGGACTCAGTAAAGCATCCTTCAAGCATGGTTTGGAATGGATGCGATAAATTAGCAATCTTTAGCCGATCACAGGCTATATACTCGTCTCTAACACGAAAAAACAAGGTTTTTGATTTCTCTATCTCGGCCGAAGAACATGTATCCATTAGCTCTGAAGTCTGAAGAGGGATTTCAGAATCCAGGATATTAAATTTCTGGGAGCAATTACCGCATGATGAGAGGAGATCAGAGATGGATTCTTCTCCTCTTTTCTCATACTTGAGCCATGCTCCAAAAATAATCTTCTCATAAACCGTGGTAGCTGTCTCCAAAGCAGAACGCAGACTCCTCTGAAACAACTTAAACTCTCCAAGACCCCTGAATACCTGAAACTGAAACAGATACAACTCCGACTTCTCGTGGGGCAGACAGGATTCCAACTCTTCATGGATCTTAGCCAAGGCCTCCACATAGTCAATCGGCTTAAAGAATGGTAGAACAGGCGGCTCTGCAACCTTGATAAGAGCCTCGCTGCATTTAAACAATTCAACACAAACATTTCTTCAGATATTACAAATACAATTAAAAAAAAAAACACCAAACAGTTCAACAAATGAAAGAGGTTCAACAAAAGCATACATAGAAGACGGAGAATGTGAGGAGAAATTGGAAACCTTTCCCCTCTCAACCTGTAGCCATGACTGAGGATTAAAAGCATGGAGCTGCGTTCCCTTGCAGGATTCAGCAAAGAACAGGCTCCTCATGGCGCTTACTATCGAAGAAAACGCCCAAATCTCCACAGTTTCAGAAGGGGCTCCGCCCAGAAACTTCAATACCCTATCCCGCTAAACTGGAATCCACTAAAGGCAGCTCCTTTAGCCCCGTAAACCATCAATCAACCCAAACGCGTTTGTAGAATTCGATAAGATTCAAAAAAAAATCAAAAAGAAAACAATAAAAAAAAGTAAGGAAAAAGACGCTTTGTTGTTCTCTTTGTTCGCATCCGAAACCCCAACAAATCAATCCATTGCAACGCCGTTCTCTCCAAGCAGAGTCCGGAAACCGGCCTCCTATCATCTACGTCGACATCGATAACTACGTAGAAGATACTCTAGCCAGTGCAGAATTGAAACCCATTTTTTGCCCTCAGTACAGTCTCCACCGATCTTTTCGGGTTGCAGTGGTGACGAGGCATTTGCAGAGGATATCTCGGACTAAATTCAGCAATGAATGGAGAAAATGTCAGCTGATCTCTCAAGAAAGATTGCAGGCGTTGGACACTTCACTCCCGACTTTCTTCTCTTGTTCCAGCAAGGCCGAGAGAGACGGTGATAACTGATAAGCTTTCAAATAAATTAATTCAAAGGAACAGCCGGCCCCTCAACTCATAAAAAATTAAGCAAAGA